TGTATGTATGTATGCATTCATGCATGTATGTATGTATGTATGCACGTATGTATGTATGTACGTATGCATGTATACATGTTTGTATATATCTATTGATCCACCGCCGTGCACTGAGGCACGAGTTGGAGTGTCAACAGTTCCCTCGAGCATCCGTCCTTAGTCATTGCCACTTAGAGTGTCCACTGGTCCCTCGGGCATCCGTCCTGAGTCCTGCTAGCGATATAAATGTATTTACACATACGCAGCTATTGCATACATATATATATATATATATACATATGTATGTATGCACAAATGTATGTCGGTATGTGTATATATACATATACATATACATGTATATATATATATATATATATATATATGGTCGCCCCCTGGTATCATAACATTCGCCGTTCTGCGAACGGCGACTGCGAACGGCGAGTGGTATGATACCAGAGGGGGGGGAGAGGAGTAGGGGGGAGAGGAGTAGGCGGAGGAGACGGAGGAGGGTGTTGTTTCATTGTTCCCCCTCCCCGCCCTCGGAGGCGGAGTTTTTCTTTTTTTTGCATGTGAAAACACACGTGTTTTAAATGTGTATTGTTTTCCCATCTTTTTCGCCCCCCCCTGGGGCGGCGGGGAAACCCCGAGGGGCCGAACGGGAGAGCGAACAACAAGAACAAAAGGAAAACTATGGAAACACATGTGTTTTCGCATGGAACAAAATTAAAAAAAAATCCGCCTCCGAGGGCGGTGAGGAGGAACAAAAGTAACAAAACACCCTCCTCCGTCTCCTCCGCCTACCCCTCCCCCCCTCCTCCTCCTCCGTCTCCCCAAATGGAGAAAACAGACAGGTGCAGAGCGGTTGTTTTCCTTTCCCCCCCCCCCCCGCGCCCTCTGAGGCGAAGTTTTTTCTTCTTGCTACATGTGAACACATAAGTTGTTGTCCTTGTTTCTTATTTCCCTCTCTTTCGGGAGGGAGGAGGAGGAGGAGGAGAAAAATTAGGAGGAGAAAGATGACTTTGTTTCCTTTTGTGGGGGGTCCTCCACATATTGACCCCTTATGTGCACGGGACCTCCACATGTTGATTCCGTTTGTGGAGGGACCTCCACATATTGATTCCCTATGTGCAAGGGGTCTCCATATTGATTTCTTATGTGGAGGGGCCTCCCATTTTTAGATTCTTTATGTGGATGGGGCCTTCACATATTATCTCTTTATGTGAAGGGGCGTGCACGTATTGATCCCTTATGTGGAAGGGCCTTCAAACATCGACTCCTTATGTGTAGGGGCCTCCACATATTGATTCCATGTGTGGAGGGGCCTCCACATAATGATTCCATATGTGCAAGGGGCCTCCATAACCATATCTTGTGTGGAGGGGCCTCCCACTCGTTGAACCCTTATGTGGAACGGGCCTGATTCCTCTTGTGGGGGATCCTCCACATATTGTTTCCTTATCTTGAATGGATCTCCACATGTTGATTCCGTCTGTGGAGGGACCTCCACATATTGATCCCTTATGTGCAAGGGTCTCCAGCTTGATTTCTTATGTGGAGGGGCCTCCAACTTGTTCGTTCCTTATGTGGAAGGGGCCTTCACATAATGATTCCTTATGTGAAAGGGCCTGCACATATGGATTCCTTATGTGGATGGGCCTTTTTAGTATCGACTCCTGATGTGGAGGGGCCTCCACATTGATTCTGTCTGTGGAGGGACCTCCACATTTTGATTCGTTCTGTGGCGGGCGATCTCCTGTTCCTCCTCCTCCTACTGCTCCTCCTCCCCCTGCTTCTCTCACTCCGGCGCAGGGGTTGAGGAGAAGAAGGATCAGAAGGAGTAGGAGGAGAAAGATGAGGAGGAGAAAGATGAGATTGTTTCCTTTTTGAAGGGGGTCCTCCACATATTGATTCCTTATGTGGAAGGGACCTCCACATGTTGATTCCGTTTGTGGAGGGACCTCCACATATTGATTCCCTATGTGCAAGGGGTCTCCATATTGATTTCTTTTGTGGAGGGTCATCCCACTTGTTGATTCCTTATGTTGGAAGGGGTCTGCACATTTTGATTCCTTATGTGGATGTGCATTCAAATGATCGCGTCCTTAAGTTGAGGGGCCTCCACATGTTGACTCCGTCTGTGGAGGGACCTCCACCAATTGAGTTCTTTTGCGGCGGGCGATGTCCTTTTCCTCCTCATCCTCCTCCTGCTCCTCCCCCTCCTCCTCCCGCTCTGGCGCAGGGGTTGAGGATAAGAAGGAGCAGAAGGAGTAGGAGGAGAAAGATGAGGAGGAGAAAGATGATATTGTTTCCTTTTGTGGAGGGGCCTCATCCATATTTGTTCCTCCTGTGCAAGGGGCCTCACGCACATTGATTCCTCTTGTGGGGGGGGTCCTCCACATATTGATTCCTTATGTGGAAGGGACCTCCAGATGTTGATTTCGTCTGTGGAAGGACTTCCACATATTCATTGCTTAGGTCAAAGGGGTCTCCATATGGATTTCTTATGTGGATGGGCCTTCGAATATAGATTCGATATGTGGAGGGGCCTCCACATATTGAGTTTTTTCTGTGGAGGGACCGCCGCATATTGATTCCTTATGTGCAAGGGGTCTCCACATTGATATCTTGTGTGGAGGGGCCTCCAACATGTTGAATCCTTATGTGGGAGGGGCCTTCATAGATGAGTTCCTTATGATTGATTCCTTCTGTGGAAGGCCCTTCACATATCGACCCCTTATGTGGAGGGGCCTCCACATGGATTCCTCGTGTGGGGTAGGAGGAGAAAGATGATGAGGAGGAGGAAGAGTAGGAGGCGGAGGTGGACACGGGCGAAGCGGATTTACATATAGATCCCTTGTGTGGCGGGGCGGGGTACATAGAATGGGAGGAGAGGAGAGGAGGAGGAGATAGAGAGAGAGAGAGAGAGAGCCAAGAGAGGGAGGAGAGAGACAGAGGGAGGAGGAGAGGGAGGAGGAGAGAGAGAGGAAGGGAGAGGAGAGGAGGGGAGAGAGAGAGAGAGAGAGTCAAGAGAGGGAGGAGGAGAGAGTGAGGAAGAGAGAGAGAGAGAGAGTCAAGCGAGAGAGAGAGAGAGGGGGAGGAGACGAGAGGATAGATAACGAGAGAAAGAGGAACGGAAGTCGGCAGAAAGCGGGCGGGAACGTTGAGTCAAGGAGTCGGCGAGGAGTGAGGGAGGAGGGGGGACCGGGAGGCTAACGAACAGAATCAAAAGGATAAGGCGAATCATAGAAAGAAATGCAGCGGGAAGGAACGACACCGATGCGGACGGAGAGTAGGCAGCATACGAGGCGGAGTGTTGACAAAGGCAGAAGTGGGAAGTATCGAGGACAAGGCAAATGGTATGATACCAGGGGGCGAGCATATATATATATATATATATATATATATATATATATATCAGAATGTGTGTACATATCTAAATGTACACATATATATACATATGTATATATATACATTTATATATATATATGTATCAACGCCCGGGTATATAAATCGTCCTTTGTTGTGATGATGATGGTGACGCTGATGATAATGATGATGCTGCTGATGATGATGATGAGATTGATGATGGTGACGATGATGGTGATGATGATGATGACGAGCATGCTGATGATGATGGCGATTTCGATGTCGATGTCGATGTCGATGCAGATGTCGATGTAGATGCCGATGTCGATGTCGATGACGATGACGATGCCGATGGTGGTCATAATGCTGCCTGCTCGGGTTTCTGGTGAAGCCTCTGGGGAGCCTCTTGGAGGCAGGTGTGATGCATCGTTTGGGCCTCCTGGGGGCCTCGTGGGGTCCTCCTGGGGGCCTACTGGCGCTCTCGGGGCTCCCCTTGTGGCGGAAGGCTCGGCATCTCAGTTCGTGTTCCTTTATCGGGGCCCTCTTGAGCCGTCTCGGGCGCCTCTTGGACCCTCTTGGGGCCCTCTTGGGCCGTCCTGGGGCACTCCTGGGGGCCTCCAGGGCCGTCTGAGGCCGATCTTGGATGCTTCTTGGGATGTCTTAGGCGCTTCGAAGACCCAACGTGCGAATATGCAAAACAGATACTTGGTTTCACGGATTGTGGCGATGTTGGCCGAGGGCCCTCTTGCCAGTGCTCTTGGGGCTCTCTTGGGCCGTCTTGGTGACATCCTTGGCCATCTTGGACCCATTTGGGGTCATCTTGGCGGCCTTGGTGGCCTTGCTGGGCCGTCAGTGTGACCTTGGGAACCTCGAGGGAGGCGTCATTACCGTCCAGGGAGCCTCGGAAGAGGGGGCGATGCATGGGAGGGGATGCTTCGACAGGGGGGGGCGAATACTACAGAGACTTTGCCTGACAGCACATGGCACCCTTGCACGCCTCAACATGCCGGGGGACTCGGTGGTGGACATAGAAGTACTCCGTGTATACGTCGGTAGTATAGATGGATTGGCGACTGGGTTCCCTGGCCCAGGGGTGGTCCACTTGTCTTAGTCCCCCCCTCCCGTAGCCCACTTTCCCCCAAGAGTCCTTTTGGAGCATTTGGAGATTACTTCGGCTTCAAGAGACGTACCAGATGGCTCAGGAGGACGCTCAGAGGCTGCCAAAATTGCCCGGCATGGCGCTCCAGGGTACTTCCAGGATGGCCCCGGGAGACTACGAGATGCTTCACGAAAGGCTCCAAGAGGCCCCAAGAAAGCGTCCCCAGACGTTTTCAATCTGTCAAACGTATTGGGTGTGCCGACTTCGTGTGGGTTTGATGTGCTTCCCCGTCAGATAGTTTCGCGAGCTTTGTAGAAGATCCCAAGGCGTCCCACAGCGTCCACCGAAAGTCCGAAGACGGCCCCAGGACGCTCTTGGAGAGTCCCAAGACTGCCTAACAGAGCCTGCGCCAGGGGCACTCGAGCCCCAAGGCGGCCCAAGAGAGCACAACTTCAGCCCAAGAAGGCTAACCAAGAGCCGCAAGACGCGCCAAGACCGCCCGAGAGTTTCCGAAGACCTTTCGGAGGCCAACCTGCTTTTCAATCTCGACCCCTAGATCTTTCCTTGTTCTCCATATCCTGATGCCTGCTTCACGTGCTCCGCCACCTGGCGTGGCAGCGCGTGCGAGATGCTTGAAGGCTGTTCTCTCTCCGTCCTCCGTCGTTCCACGTTCCTTCTTTTGCAGGTGCTCTGCCAGTCAGCGCGACAGTGCGCGCATTCTGCTGCAAGGCAGCTGATGCGCCTGTTTCAAACGCCGGGAAATCATTGGCCAAGCCTCTCAGGGAATATCGGTCGAATCGAGAGGAGGAGGGTGACGAGGAAGGCGGGACGGAGGACGAAGGTAGGAGGTGTTCAGCGTTCTTCGGTCGGAGGTAACTCGGTCCCGGCCGAGTGCGAGGAGACGCAAGATGAGTAGGAGTAGGACGAGGAGGAACAGAGGGATGGAGGGAAGGGCGTGCGCTTTACCACCCTCTTGGCCGCTCTTCACAGCGCCTGGCATTCCCTGCTGATCCTACAGACAGCATCCTCGGACTCGACTAGAGCATAAGCGCGCGAAGCGCGCGCGTGGCTACAGGCTGGGAAAAGGTTCTTCTGACGCCGCCACATGGTGATACAGCAGGAATTGCATAGCAGCAGAAATTATGTGATCGATGGTTGCACTATGTGATACAGTGGCCGAACACACTGCGCTTCGGATGTCCATGCCCACTTCGCCTTTTCACGGGTCGCACAATAGTGGGGCCATCTCGTCACGAATTATTCCGCCCACCACGTGTGTAGATGAATGACATATCCACTCTTGCGCACCATGTGACAACGCACTATGTCTCTTGGAGCGTCGTGGGCCCCCGGCGACGCCGGCCACCACGACGACGACGGTGAATTTGACGACTACGACGACGATGATGATAACGACGACGACGATGACGACGACGACGTTGACGTGCGCTCTCGCCCGAATGCCGGCCACTCCTTGGCTCTCGCCCCATTGTTGGCTAGTGTCTCGGTCTGGCCGACGGCTCTCCCTCAAGCAGGGAGAGGTCTCTTGGGCGGCGCTCCCCCCCCGCTCGGAAGGGGGACGTGCTGAGGGGAGACAACGCCACCCCCTCTGGGGGACATACTGCTGTCACCCCCAAACAGGCACATCTTTGAAGAGTAACCGCCCGTTTGGGCTCAAGCCAGACCAAACCATGCAAATTGTCAGGACGTCTCAGGCGAATCCGTACCCAAACCAAGCCAAACCAAGCAAATTCCAAGGACACCCCAGGCGAAACCGAGCCCCAACCAGGCCAAACCAGGGCCAAGCCAGGCAAATTGTGAGGACGTTCAAGCGAGACTGAACCCAAACCGGGCCAAACCAGGGCCAAACCGGGTAAATTGTGAGGACGCCTCAGGCGCAACCAGGCCCAAACCAGGGCCAAACCAGGGCCAAACCAAGCAAATTGTCAGGATTTCTCCAGCGAGACCGTGCCCAAGCCAGGCCAAACCAGGGCCCAAACCAGGCAAGTTGTGAGGATGTCTCAGGCGGGGCGCGTCGCCCAAACCAGGCCAAACGAGGCCAAACCCGGACCCCAACCAGGCAAATTTTGAGGACGCCCCAAGCAGAATCGCCCAAACCAGGCCCCACCCATTCTCCATAAGAAAGTTCGAATTAAAGGGGTGGGTCACCCCAGCGGACCCCCCAGCAGGCGTTTGGACCACATGTCCGCTGAGGCGGATGGGGTTCGGCGCTGAAGGTTTCGTTTGTCTTTCGGTGGTGTTGGGGGAATTGGTGTGGCGTAAGGAGTCGTGTTTCCGAGCCTGTAGTGGGTATATATATATATATATAGATATAGGTGTGAGTGCGCATGTGTGTGTTCACCGTGGCATAGACCTTAACAGCCTGTCTGCGCTGCTGCCGTGCGACTGCGCGGTCCTTGCTGCCCTGCGCGCTCCGGTCGTGCAAGCGTTCTGGTCGTGCAAGCGAGACCTTGCGTAGGAGGAAGGGAGGAGGGGGGGCACGGATACTTACCTACTTACCTACGCGACAGGAGTATGTTGCATGTCGTGTGGGAACTAAGATATGCTGTTTGGGACCGACATTTGAACGAAAGCCGGCACTGGCAACCTGCTTCAGCAGCGAGACGTGCCGCTCGTCCTCGAGATCGAGCGGTCTCTTGGCCACACTACCATCGTAAGATGTGCCGATTCGTTGTCGATATTCGGCGAGCGTCACCCCATACTGACTGTTTTTGTTGGGCGCCGCACTCGGAGCTGTCACAAGTCGTGCTGTGGTAAAGCGGTTGGATGGAGCACGAGGCGCTCAGTGCGGTCGTCAGGGCTTTCCGCCTGCAGCTGTCCGTTCGCACGTGCGTGGATTGGCGCAACTATGCTGTCTGGCAACGTGCGTCGTTGTGACCTTAATATCTGGCAGAGCCCCTTCAATTGGAGACGTGCAGATGCCAGTAGGGTGGGAGGGATGTGTATATATATATACATGTGTATACATATATATATATATATATATATATATACGTAGGGGGTGGGAGGGATGTGTATATATATATAGAGAGAGAGAGAGAGAGAGAGAGAGAGAGAGAGACAGGCAGACAGACAGAGAGGGAGGGAGGGAGAGAGAGAGAGAGAGAGAGAGCGAGAATCAACAGAAAACAGACAGTGCTTCCTGCCAAGCCCGGTAGATCTACGATATTCTTTGTGGTCGCGGGGGCGAAGGCACAGTGCCTGTCGCGATTCCCCACAGGACGCATGAATGCCCGGATCGGTGTGTGTGTTTGCGTCGCATAAGTGCATTTGGAGCGGAGGAGACCAGACAACCGACGGTTTTTATTCGAGACATGGACTACCGGAAGTTCTCGACCACTTCCCCGATGCCGGTTTATCATTTTGATCTGTTTCTGGATGTTCCCAGAGCGCGTGCCGTCTTTCTTGTGAAGGCCTTACGGCCGGTGCCGCCGACCCTGGAAGAAGACCCCCATGATGAAGGTGACAGCTGGAGGTGTTTGGGAAGGTTGGGACCTGACGCCCCTAAGAATTCCCCTGACGCCCCTCAAGGTTCCTAAGAAGAGCAGCGTTGTGTTGAGCCGCTGGACGCCCGGGTAGGGCGGTGGTGGGCTTATAGATCACCCAAGGAAGGGCTACCCTAGGGCTACCCCTAGGCCTACCCCTAGGGCTACCCTAGGGCTACCCCTAGGGCCTACCCCTAGGGCTACCCTAGGGCTACCCTAGGGCCTACCCCTAGGGCTACCCTGGGGCTACCCCTAGGGCCTACCCCTAGGGCTACCCTAGGGCTACCCCTAGGGCCTACCCCTAGGGCTACCCTAGGGCTACCCTAGGGCCTACCCCTAGGGCTACCCTAGGGCTACCTCTGGGGCCTACCCCTAGGGGTACCCTAGGGCTACCCTAGGGTGTCCAGTAGGGCCTATCCTTGGGAAGCCTAGGGCCTTCAGTATGTGTAATCCGCCACACAAGCAAGCAATGCCTTTAATGTCCCGCCCGCCCGCCCGACAAAAGGAATCAGCTTGTAATCCGCCATAATAGTAATCAACTTGCAATCCGCTGCCAAATGGAATCACTTTGTAATCCGCCACGAAAGCAATCAATGCATTTAATGTCCCGCCCGCCCGCCCGACCAAAGGAATAAGTTTGCAATCCGCTGCCAAAGGGAATCCATGTGTAATTCACCACACAAGCAATTATTGCCTTCAATGTCCCGCCCGCCCGCCCGGCAAAAGGCGCCCGACCAAAGGAATAAGTTGAAAATCCGCTGCCAAAGGGAATCCATTCGCAATTCACCAAACAAGCAATCATTGCCTTTAATGTCCCGCCCGCCCGCCAGACAAAAGGAATCAATGTGTAATCTGCCACAATAAGAATCAGTTTGCCATCCGCCACACAAGCAATCAATGCCTTTAATGTCCCGCCCGCCCGCCCGACAAAAGGAATCAGCTTGTAATCCGCCACAAATGGAATCTACTCGTAATCCGGTACCAACGGGAAGCAATTGGTAATCCACCACACAAGCAAGCAATCAATGCCTTTAATGTCCCGCCCGCCCGCCCGACTAAAGGCATCAACCCTAGGATAGACCGGTGAGGGGGGGTCTGTGAGGGGGGGTCAGCGAGGGGGGGTCCCAGAGGGGGGGTCCCAGAGGGGGGGTCCCAGAGGGGGGGTCAGCGAGGGGGGGTCCCAGAGGGGGGGTCAGCGAGGGGGGGGTCAGCGAGTCAGCGAGGGGGGGTCAGCGAGGGGGGGTCTGAGGGGGGGTCGAGGGGGGGTCAGCGAGGGGGGGTCCCAGAGGGGGGGTCAGCGAGGGGGGGTCAGCGAGGGGGGGCGAGGGGGGGTCTGCGAGGAGAGGGGGGGTCCCAGAGGGGGGGTCTGCGAGGGGGGGTCTGCGGCGCCGGGGCCGCGGTCGCCGGGGGGCGGCGCGGGCGCCCTGCCCTCGGAAGGGGGAGCGGGGGGGGGGAAGCAGGGGATCGAGGGAGTAGCGAGAGAGGAGGAGGAGGTGGAGGAGGAGGAGGAGGAGGAGGAGGAGGGAGGAGGAGGAGGAGGTGGCGGCGGAGGAGGAGGAGGCGGCGGGAGCAGGGGGGAGGGAGGAGGCGGGCGGACGGAGTGAGGAGGGAGGAGGGAGGAGGCGTGCGGAGGGAGGAGGGAGGAGGGATGCTGCCGGCTCGGATTCCCGCTACAAAGGGGTCCGGCTACCCCTGGGGCCCACCCCTAGGGCTACCCTAGGGCCTACCCTTGGGAAGCCTAGGGCCTTGGGTAGGGCCTACCCTTGGGAAGCCTAGGGCCTTGGGTAGGGCCTACCCTTGGGAAGCCTAGGGCCTTGGGTAGGGCCTACCCTTGGGAAGCCTAGGGCCTTGGGTAGGGCCTACCCTTGGGAAGCCTAGGGCCTTGGGTAGGGCCTACCCTTGGGAAGCCTAGGGCCTTGGGTAGGGCCTAGGGTAGCCAAGGCCCCCGGTGATCTATACCGTGGTGGGAGGACACGGGCATTCTCGCCTATGTTTGCAGCCGTGAGCTCCTGGCAGCCTCGCCTGCCGTCGACCTGCCCGCGCTCTGTCCCCTGCGGGTCGCCTTTGAAGTTTGCTGGCATGTGCAGGATGCCTGGCAAGAGGCGCACCACAGATCGTGTCGCCAACGTCGGTTGGCAACTGGAATCTACAGTTATGTCGGGCCTGTCCCCCGACTATTTTGTTGATAATGTTTTGGTTATTTTGGGTGTATTTTTCTATTTTTCATCGAAAATCCCCCTGTAGGGGGACAGGCCCGACTCGATTCTACAGTCGCCACGCTTGTCAATGGCTAGCTCGCTTCTGCTTTGCTCTCCTGCCCCCCCGCCCCCTTGGAATTGCCAGTTGGGAAAGCCAATTCGCCTTGCTACGTTTAAGTCGGGCCTGTCCCTCTACAGGGGGAATACTCAAAAATAGTAAAACAATGGTTTTGTTTTTTAGTATTTTCTGACCATTTTGGAGTATTTGTTGAGTATTGTTCCATTTTCGTCGAAAATCTCCCTGTAGGGGGACGCGCCCGACTTAATGCCACGTTCGCACGGCCAGCGGCCTCGCGGCGACGCACCCGTTGCACACCCGTCGAATGCCGCCGCCCGGCCGCCTGCCTCCCGGGTGGCGCCGTCTTTCCTCTCTACCTCGGCATCGCTCGGACATGTGCATTTTTCCTTCGGCGAGGACCGTCGAGGAGCGTCCCTTGATCATTTGGCGAAGAAGCCACGCACGAGACTGAAAGAAGCACAGGGAATGGACGTCCGAGCGGTGGCGAGTCTACGCCGTCTTGCGTCGCGCCCCCCTGCCTGCTCCTCCTCCTGCTCGAGGGGAACGAAGAATGACATAAGCACAAGAACGCGGAGCTTCGCGCGGACTTCTCGCGCCTCCGGCGCCCACCCCCGTCGCGGTCGTTCCCCGTCGCTCGCCCTCCGCCTTCCCCCAGCTCTCCAGGCTCGTCCTGGTCCTCGGGGCGGCGTGCTCTCTCTTCTTCGGGGTCGGAAAAGAGGGGGGTGATGGCTAGGGGGGGTGGATATCATGGCGTTGGCCATGATATTTCCCCAGATGTCATGGCGCCTCTTCTTATTTCATTACGTCCCTGGCTCCCCGCTGGGCCGCGCACATGCCGCCGGTCATGATTTGCACCCCACCCTCTTGGACACCCCCCTCTTGGCCGCCCCCGAGCTCTCTCTTCTGCCCCCGTGTTGCTGCCGCTCTCCTGGGTCGTCCGCCTCTCGTGGCGGGCGCGGGGCGCGCTCGGGCATGTGTTTCGCCACTCCGTCGCGTCGGCGAAACGTCGAAGCGTCGCCGGCGCTTAGCATTACATGTCATAGCATGGTGCTGAAGATCAGCGCGTAGCATGCCATAGCATGGCGTGGCGACGCCCCGAAGTGGGGGGGGGCGTCGGCGGCCCCAAAAATCAACGAATCGGCACCGAATGTGCAATCACTTCCGATGGTGTTTTTCGGGGGTGGCATTTTCTAGATCTGGGGGCCAATTTGGAAGGACCGAAAACCATGCCGTGGCATGGCATTGCAAATTAATGACGCCAGCGCTGCAGCGGGAGCACGATTCGGAACGAGCGGAAGCGAGGAAATGAATCCAGCTCTGCAGCGGGAGAACAATTCGGAACCAGCGGAAGCGCGGAAATGAGGCCAGCGCTGCAGCGGGAGAACGATTCGGAACGAGCGGAAGCGCGGAAATGCGGCCAACGTTGCAGCGAGAGCACGTTTCGGAACGAGCGGAAGACCGGAAATGAGGCCAGCGCTTCAGCGGGAGCAAAATTGTGAGCAAAACCACAGGCGAAAACCAAGTTATTTGGGAATCTTGTGCGTAAGGAACACGACTCGGAGGGGGGCCAGAGATCTTCCGGACGTCATCCGGGGGGAGAGGAGAGTGGTATTTTGATTGTGTAGTTGTCGAGGAGGAAGAGGAGGAGGAAAGGAGAAAGGAGGTGGAGGGGGGTAGTAGTAGTAGTAGTAGTAGTAGTAGTAGTAGTAGTAGTAGTAGTAGTAGTAGTAGTAGTAGTAGTAGTAGTAGTCGTAGTCGTAGTCGTAGTCGTAGTCGTAGTCGTAGTCGTAGTCGTAGTCGTAGTCGTAGGTCTCGTAGTCGTAGTCGTAGTCGTAGTCGTAGTCGTAGTCGTAGTCGTAGTAGTAGTAGTATTAGTTAGAAGTAGTGAGTAGTAGTAGTATTAGTAGTAGAAGTAGAAGTAAATAGTAGTAGTAGTCGGTCGTAGTAGTGTTGTAGTAGGAGTACAGCAGCAGAAGTAGTAGAGAGGGATGAGGATAGTGTAAGGAGTATAGGAGATAGGAAAGTAGTAGGAGTTAGTAAGGCGTAGTAGGAGTAGTCGTAGTATTAGTATAGTAGTAGTAGTATAGTAGTAGTAGAAGTAGTAGTAGTAGTAGCAGTATTAGTTTGAGTAGTGCAGCAAGTAGCATACAGTGGCAGTGGCAGTAGCAGTAGTAGTAGTAGTAGTAGTAGTAGTAGTAGTAGTAGCAGTAGTAGTAAGTAGTCGTAGTAGTAATAGTAGTATAAAGTAGTAGTAGTAGTAGTAGTAGTAAGTAGTAGAAAAGTGAAGTGAGTAGTAGTAGTAGTAGTAGTAGTAGAGCAGTGATGTAGTATTAGGTAGCAGTAAGTAAGTAGTAGTAGTAGTAAGTATATAAAGTCGTCGTAAGAAGTAAGTAGATCGTAGTAGTTAGTAGTAGTAGTAGTAGTAGTAGTAGTTCGTAGTCGTAGTCGTAGTCGTAGTCGTAGTCGTGTCGTAGTCGTAGTCGTGGGTGTAGTAGTAGTAGTAGTAGTAGAGTAGTAGTAGTCGTCGTCGTAGTTAGTAGTAGTAGTCGTAGTAGTAGTAGTAGTAGTAGTAGTAGTAGTAGTAGTAGTAGTAGTAGTAGTAGTAGTAGGAAGAGGAGGAGGAAGAGGACGAGGAGGAGGAGGAGGAGAGGGAGGAGGAGGAGAAGGAGCGGGAGGAGGAGGAGGAGGAGAGGGAAGAGGAGGAGGAGGAGGAGGCGGAGGAGGAGGAGGAAGACGAAGACGATTATGAAGAAGGGTAATAAGAAGAAGGAGAAGAAGAAGAAGAAGAAGAGGAGGAGGAGGAGGAGGGGTAGGAGGACAGGGAGGATGAGGAAGCGGAGGAGGAGGAGGAGGAGGAGAGGATGGATGGAGGAGTTGGAGGAGGAAGATGATGATGATGCTGCTGCTGATGATGAGGATGAGGCTGAGGATGATGATGATGATGGTGTTGTTGATAATGATCATGATGATGATGATGCTGCTGCTGTTGCTGATGATGATTATGATGGTGGTAGTGGTGATGATGATGGTGTTGGTGATGATGATATGATGATGATATGACATGATGATGATGATGATGATGATGATGATGATGATGATGATGATGATGATGATGATGATGATGATGACGGTGGTGGTGGTGGTGGTGGCATTGGTGGTGGTGGTGTGGTGGTGGTGGTGGTGGTGGTGGTGGTGGTGGTGGTGTGGTGGTGGTGTGGTGGTGGTGGTGGTGGTGGTGGTGGTGGTGGTGGTGGTGGTGGTGGTGGTGGTGATAGTGGTGGTGATAGTGGTGGTGATAGTGGTGGTGGTGGTGGTGGTGGTGGTGGTGGTGGTGGTGGTGGTGGTGGTGGTGGTGAGGAGGAGGAGGAGGAGGAGGAGGAGGAGGAGGAGGAGGAAGGAGAAGAAAAAGAAGAAGAAGACGAACCAGAAGAGGAGGAGGAGGAGCAGGAGCAGGACTCGAGGACTCGAGATCAGAGGGCACCGCGGTCGACTCCGCCGCCGCGGCCCCTGCGCCCGCGCACGCTGCGCAGGCTCTCACGAGGTCGCGAGCCAGCCCCAGAGACAGGGCGAGCTCCACCTCACTGCCACTCCAAGGCAGAGTAGATCAGCGGGGCAGCTGGGTCAGCTGCCCCGTGAGGTCGCGAGCCAGCCCCAGAGACAGGGCGGGCCTCCACCTCACTGCCCCTCCAGGGCAGAGTATCTCTGCGGGGCCGAAGCCCCGAGCCGCGTACTCACCCACGTTGTCGCCGCTCTGCAGCCACACGTTGTCGACGCCCAGCTGCGACTCGTGGTGGCTTGTCGCCGTTGGGCGGCACCGTGCCATCTGGCCAGTTCTGGCCAGCCTTAGGGGGTAACCCTTGGCGTAGACGTCGGAGAACAGTCTGGCCACTCTGCGTTATCTGCTCTCTGCACTTCGCTGCCAGAAGGGATACACGACCATGTCCTTCATCGTTGTGTGACGCCACCGCTGCACAATTCCAACACCAGAACTGCCCATGAGCAACAGAAATCGAGTGGCTCGGGTGGATCACTTTGTCTTGAATTTCAATCATCTCATTGTTGGGTACCTGTACTGCATGTCCATGATCAGCTCGGTGTACTGCATACTGCCGTCCAATACAGACAGTGGCTCTTAACCAATCAAAAAGACTATACTTGCCTGGAGTTTTCCAACACTCTTGGCAGACCCAACGTCCTTTCATTGTTTTCATATCATGTCCAGAAACTTCTTGTAGCTGGAGGCGCTGCTCACGTCGTAAGTGGAAAGCTTTGTGCCGCTGCTGCTTGGGCCTGTCCAGCTTGGTTGGGTCCGCGTCCTTGCACATGTCGAAGATGATGGCGGCCGCACGACGCTGGACACGCATCAACAATGTCTCCACTTCAGTAAGCTGCTTGACCTCCCCACGTATATCGTTCATGGCCTCTTCAGCTCCACGCTGCGCAAGCGTATCTGCCATTTCATTTCCAAGGCTGATCTGGAAATCTTGTTTGGACTGCTTGATTGCTTCATGGTCAAGATGAGATAAACATTTGATAATAACCACCTGATGTACTCCACCAGGCCGCTTCTTGATCATAGCACCGATACCCCCCCCCACCATTCCTTCAAGGCACATTGGGGATGTTCGTAAAACCGCTGGGTCCAATCATTCACAACTTGCTGGCAGTCAGTGTAGATGGTAATCGGCCCTTTCGTCAGCGCCAATGCCCAAAACAATCCCGCGTGTTCTGCTGCAGGTACACTCTGTTCTCCATCCACCGTGCCATAGAAACCAATATGGTGGGTATCTGCAATGACGCCGTTGCTGATGTCGATCTGATTGTTCACATTGAGGACGTGCGTGACATAGCTTGGGCTCGTCATGTCCATTGCCGTATCGCTATCCTCATGATACTCAGGAAACTCATCTTCGAGGGTGGGTGCCTGGTCGCGTAGGAGCTGTCTAAACTTCTCTTCGATTTCAGCGACGCTGTCAAACCAGTGTTGGACGTAAGCTTGTTTTTCCCATCCTTTGAGCGTGAGGTAGTAGTCATATACATCCTTGCGCCGCCTCTTGGAGGTGCGCCATCTGATGTCACATAGATCTTTGGCGAGCTGGCTGCTGCTGCGGGTCTGGTACCGTGCTTTGAGAAACTGCAAGAGGCACGCTTGTTCTGGTTGGCGTAGGAACAGCTTCATGTACGGTTCGCACCATAGTTTCCAGTTGTCGTGGTTGCGAACTTCGTCGTCATCAATGAATACTGTCCAAGTCGCTGCCCAGACTCCAAGGTCATTCATCACATCCTTGTGCAGCTGCTCCGTGGTCTCGTCGGTCGGTACTTGCTTCATTTGGCCTCCCATTTCCGTGCGACCTGCTGGGGTATTTTCGCCGAAGTCCAACGTGGTGTACGAAGGTCCATCCGTGGGTATTGCGTCGGGGTTCCCCTGTTCCAAGAGTGCGTCTTGGCACCGCAGTCGCTCTTGTCCTGGTCTATGTTCTGGCGGTCCCTGTCGTAGCTGAAGTGTAAGTCCCCATCCCACTCTGTTGAGGCGCTTGTCATTGCTTGTGCCTGATCCATCCACGAAGGCACTCGCGCAACATAAGGGGTTGATGGTGACCAGCTCCTGCGAATATACTTTGGTTCCTGCCGTGGCCGTTGTCCAATAACTTCCATTCCGTGATCCCCAAGCCGGCGCTGATGGGACTGGGTTGCGATGTTGAGGAAGTAATCCGCGTAGCCAGAACGCCTCTGTGTCAGGGTCGTTATACATTTCTTCTAGTGCACGCTTGCACAGCGACTGTGACTTGACAACGGCCTCTATGTTCAAGTTGTCATTCATTTCGCACTCGTAGATCCTGTACTTGATCGTGTCAGCCGCTTTGGAACATCCTGGGCACTTGCCGTCAGTTTTGTAGCCAGCATCTTTGCACCGCTGCCCCGTCCATATTGCTCCACATGCCAATGCTTCAAGCGCTCCAGCCTCTTGTATGCGATCAGCTTTGCGTAACTTCTGTAATGTGCGCTTGAGCATAGTGGTGTCCATGCCGTGCTGCATGCCCTTGCCGTAGTAGTGGTCGGCGGCCTTGTTCCATATCTGCGCCTCCATGTCCGCTGCAATGGTACGCATGATACCCTTAAAGTCCAGGGCCTGGTCATCTCGGAACTTCCACAAATTGCCTCTTGGATCTTCCCATTCATCAGGGTGGTGTGGCTTCCATCCCAGCTGCTGTAAAGATAGGATGAGGGCGCCCATGGGTCCTGTGACTGAGTTCCAGCGTCCACGTGGTCTCATCTTCTGGAATCTTTGTAGATTTTCGTACCATCCTTGTCGTAGGCGCTCATGGGCAGGTGCTTCTTTTTGCCATGTCTGTATCCATTCCTTTATCTGGCGCTGGAGGCATGCTGTGGCTGGTTCGTTCTCGCCGTAGAAGATGACGTTGGTGGTTGATGTACACCTGCCACCAGTACTGAAGCCAGCCATATCTGCTGCCTGTGCTCGCGCGTCACGCACTGCAGCTGGGCTGAGACCTGCGATAGGCCAGTCATAGCTTTGTTTCGCCCGAAGGTTTGAGTTGAATAACATGGCCGTTCTGCGTCGCCAACGTCCTTTTTGCTTGCTGAAAATCTTGGCCCTTTTAGCTCTTTGTCTAGCCTGCTTGCATCTGGTAGTGCGCGTAGACGTGGTACGTTGGCGACCCAGAGCTGCATCAATACCCAAATCTTTGACGTACTTCGGTGTCTTGATGTTGATTCCTTTCTGCTTGAGCTGCTTCACGATGTGCTTCTTCGTGGTGATGCAGTTCGTGAGTAGGGCAGATTTCCCCGAGACTACTAGCTTGGAGTCCAGACAGGCCTGCACTAAGGTATTGATTGCAACGGGGAACTGCTGCTGAAATTCCTCAGCGCGTCCTTCTACACGTATATGGAGATCGTCAACAAACTCGCGTGCTAACTCAAGCGGCGCTGCATTGTGGGTGATGTCCCATATGATGTACACCATAGCTCTTGCCGCGTGATTCGCTGCAGCACATCCAGCCACTATACCGTTCCATGGGCAAATTGGTTCAGCGTGGCCATGACAGGCTCGTATTACACGCGGTGATAAGTACATCAGGAGGCTCATGTACAGGTTGACGGCTGGATAATTGAGTTGCATAGCACGTCTGATCAAGATGCTGAGGTCCACACTGTCGTAGAATTTCTCCAGGTCAAGGTAGAAAGTGCCGTAGATCGATCCCTTGAGCTTTGCGCTGGTTTCATCAAGGGCCATTGATAAGAGTGCTGCTCGTAGTGCTGATGACCCCTGAATGGCAGCGTCCCAGTAACCTGCCTTTTCTGAACACCAGTCTTGCATCTCAGCTTTGGCCATCTTGCCCCAGAGCCTGACTGGGAACGGTAGTAGTCCAATGGGTCGCTCTTCGCCCGCTGTGTTAGATCCAGCTTTGACCAATAAATGATACCAAAGGTGATAAAACTGATGTGGCCGACATAAGTTGCGCTCGCATGAGTTTAACACAAAGACGAGGCTGCGCTTCGCATCATCAGGTAGCGCCTTGATCTCTGGTGGTTGCCATTGGTCTGGGCCACGTGCTGTCGTCTGTCGAAATTTGGATAGCGCTGCTTCCAGATCTTGGATATCGTAATAATCTCGATGCAGTAAGTCGGCTTGAGCTGCTTGTTTGAGTTCTGCCATGGCCGCTTTCAACTGCTCGCTGCTGTTGTGCCTCTGCCATCGCGTTTGCCAGACTCCTGCTCGGCACTCCGTGGCCTCACGAAGTGCTCCCGTCTCGTCCTTGGTGATCGGGTCCACGGCAGTGTCTGGTAGATCCCGTCGTTCATGTTTGCTGATGTATCTATGTGCATCGCGCATATTACTTGATAACGCCGCCCTCGTCCACTGGCCGACTTGCTCACGAATCTTTTTCCACATCTGGGAAACATGCCAATCCATTCGCTGTCTTGTGGCTGCTGCTGCATCCTGCCACTCGGTGATATTCTCCGTGTGCGTATTCTCCGTGTGCGTGTCGGGGTCGATGTCGTGGCCGAGGGAGCTGACTCGTTTGGCGAGAAGGGCCGCCTGCTCATCCAGGTAGTCGGTCTCCGCTACTTTGGTCTTTTCAAGCTTGTCAATCTGCGTGACTACATTCTTGGTGATGAGGCTGACAGCATCCAAGTGGTGCTTGCTCTCTATCGGGTGCCTTTGGAGGAGCAGAACGCCGTCTCGGCAACGCTGATATAGCGCCGTCCAGAGGGTGCTGGTGTGCTGCTGCTCGTCCGCTTTAGTGTTACCTTTTGGCTTGCCTGCGATGTGCTGCGGGTAGGGTACCTCCTTGTAGCGTGTTGGCTGTCCACGTCTCGCTCGTGGGTGGATCGGTGCCTCCGTGATGGTCGAGAGTGCCCGCTCCGCCGCATTCGCCCACTTGCCATACAACTTACCCAGCAACTCACTCATGCGCGGGTCCTGCTTGTACGCTATCGAATTCTGCACCCACAACGGCGCGCCTCGGATTCGGCAAGATGACTCCTCATCTCGGCACTTATCCCAGATATTCTGGTCGCAACGCATGGCCACAGTCTGCGTGTAGTACGTGTCCAGGAGCTTGTTGTCCAAGAGGTCATCTTCAAGGTACTTAGCCATTTCGTTGTACTGGGTGCGGTCGCGTTGTTGCCTCTTGATACCTTTCTCTCTTTGTATTTCCGTCATGGGTATGGGTCGCTTGGCTGGGAGCATAGGCTTGCAGATAAGGATCGTCGACGGCTGGGCCCATAGCTCTATAACGATGCCGATGTGTGGGGACCATGGCACCTCATGCTCGCCACGGATCTGCTTGAGTATCGGCCGAAAGTCTGGAGGGATGATGGCATAATCGATGAGACGCCCCGTTCCACTGCTGCACGTGTAACTAACGCGCTGAGGTACCACAATTGATCCACCAAGAAGTCTTAGCCAAGGCGTCGCTTCAAATTCTTGTGGTGTATTGTTGAAGTCTCCACAAATTATCCAAGGCATGTTGCCCAAACTCTTTGTCAGCTGAAGTAGGTGCTTCATCTTACGGATATTCTCACCCGTGAAGCCGATGGATGCTGTGAGGTAGGCCGTGATCACTGCTATCTGCTGTCCTTTGAGCTGCCACTTCACCATGGTGATGTCATGGAAATCATTGGCGAAAATGCTGTGGCCCTGCGCATCTGGCAGGTGTACTCGCGTATCAAGATGACGTCGACGAAGGATGCATGTGCCTCCTAAGGTGCCCGTCGTGGACCGTGGTGATGGCCGCGCTGGCGTCCAGGTACCGTGAGATCGCCACCCATACTGCATGAGTCGGCTAGCCTCGACCTCTGCTGCTGGTCCTCGTAGGTGGTGTTCGCTCAGCGCGATGATGTCGCACTGCTTGCTCTTGCCCTCGATGAAAAGTTTGGCGGCCGTGTTGTACTGCGTAACGTTGGCCACGAAGATGGTGACGATGGGCTTCGCATCGTCTGAATTGGTCTGCTGGTTCTTGCCTTCGGTCTGGATCTTGATGCCAGTACCTTGCGAACCTGCACGGACTGGCTCTGTCGACGGGCTTGAACAAGTAGACGATCCCCGAGAAGAAACTGACGTCGTGCTGCCATTATCATCATCTGCCCGAGTAGACGCACTCTCGATGATGTAGTCAGCGTCGTCGTCAAACCAGACCTGCTTCTGGTATGGCGGCCTGGCGAACCCGCTTGGTCCTCGATGAAGCTCTGCTGCGAGTGGGGATTTGCCGTGCTGGACAGCAAACATGGGCACTCTGGGCTCATCCCCCTTCGCAGCAGAGGCTGATAGTAGGAAGCCGTCGATCTCGGCTTCAACATCGTCGTACTTCTGGCTGTAGTTAGGACCCCTGCCGCGTGGCGACGTCCTGCTCTTGATCTGGGCCAGCTTCGAGAGGTAGGCCTTGACCTGGTCGTCATCTGAGAGGTCGAACTGGTTGGCGAGCTCCACCTCTGGGTCTGTTTGAACTGGTCCAGCATCGGCCGCAGGTGCATCTGCCTGTTCGCCAGGTGCTGCTGCTGGTTCCTGAGATGGTTTAGCTTCAGCTCCGTCTTCTCCCTTACGCCGCTTGCAGGCCTTGGTATTGATGGTCTTGGCTGCGTCGAGCGCCTTCTTCGCGTTGATGACTGCTGTCTTCTTGCCGTCGATGTATTGCCTGGCCTTCTGGAATTCTTTCTGGATTGCTTCATACTCCTCTTTCTGTTTGCTGTCCAGCATGGCCAACTCCTCGTCGTCCAGGGTCGGGAACTCCTCCTCCGCGTCGTCCTGTTTCTTGGCTGGCTGTGCTTCGGCTGCATCTCCTCCGGCGTCGGCTTTGGCTTCTTGGAAGTGCTTCTTCGCGTCGGCCAGCTCGGACACGTTGGTGCTGATCCTCTGGAGTACATCATTGCGGTACTCGGTAGCACGCTTGAGTTGCTTGGCCAGCTTGTCTTGGTGCTTCTGGAGACGGTTGAGCTCCGCGACTGCCTCTTGGAGCTTCTGTCCTGTTGATGGCTCTGGTGCTGCGACTGGTTCAGCTGGTTTTGCCTCTGAGCATGCTGCGAGGATCTCGTCCATGCGGGTCTGGTCGTTTTGCTCCTTGGCCGCGAGGTACTGCTTCCTGAGAAGGTCCACCATTGGCTGAGCTGCTGCACCAGGAGCTGCTTGACCTCCCGCTGGCATCGTTGACGTGGATGGTAGCTGCCACACATGACCACAAGTCTTGCAGTTGGTCCATCCAGGTTTGCCTGCCCTGTTGCAATAAACCCATTTGCCACTACCCACTGGACGAGTCGGGCATACCAGGTACTGCGTGTGCTTCTTGCCCTTGGTGTTAGGCGGTTTGCGGCTGGACGAACGTGAGGTCGATAGTGATGCTGACCGTCGCCACGGTGCACCCCATGCAGCTCCCCACGTCGCTTGGTCATCTGCGTCACTCCAGCCGCCGCGGCCCCGTGTCATGTACTGGGGCAGCAGGAACTTTAGCAGCGGCTTCTGCCGCCCCCCTCAAGCCGCGAACCGACGTACAGCGAGACCCAGCCCGCCGCCGCCGATGGTGCGCGCCCTGCTGCCTCGGCCCTCGCGTGGCGCGCGCGCGCGCCAGCTGCAGGCCGAAATGGCTTGAGGGAGCAGGAGCAGGAGGAGGAGAGGAGGAGGAGGAGGGAGGAGGAGGAAGGAGGGGAGGAGGGGGAGGAGGAGGGGGAGGAGGAGGAGGAGGATGGAGGCGGGGGGGGAGGGAGGGAGGGAGGGAGGGAGGGAGGGACGGAGGGAGGAGGAGGAGAGGAGGAGGAGGCGGAGCGAGGAGGAGGAGGATGCCGGACAGTCACAGGGACGCCGAGGATTGACCCCCGGGGGGGGGGGTCGGTCGTGAAGATAACATGGGGATGTTCTAGAGAGCTGGCAGACCTCTAGAACACGGGGCCGCGAACCTGACAAACTTAGGGGCTCTTGCTTCTCTTCGGAGGAGTCGCGCGGAAGGAGGAGGAGGAGGAGGAGGCGGAGGAGGAGGAGGAGGAGGAGGCGGAGGAGGAGGAGGAGGTAGGAGGAGGAGAGGAGGAGGAGCGAGGAGGGAGGGCGGAGGCGGGGGGGAGAGGGAGGGAGGGGAGGGGAGGGAGGGCAGGGAGGGACGGAGGGAAGGAGGAGGAGGAGACGAGGAGGAGGGAGGGAGGAGGCCAGGAGGAGGAGGAGGAGGAGGCAGGAGGCGGAGGAGGAGGAGGAGGAGGAGGAGAAGGAGGAGGAGACGGCGGGGGAGGAGGAGGGAGGGAGGGAGAGAGGAGGGAGGGAGCGGAGGGAGGGAGGGAGGGAGGGAGGGAGGGAGGGAGGGAGGGAGGGAGGAGGAGGAGGAGGAGGAGGAGGAGGAGGAGGAGGCGAGGAGGAGGAGGAGGAGGAGGAGGAGGAGGAGGAGAAGAGGACAGTTCTTATTCCTTCCGTCTTTGCCCGTTGTTATTATTTCCTTGCCCAGTGCGTGTTCCCTGCGTTTTGTAAGCGTCACAATGCCACCTGTCTGATACCTCTTTTCTCAAGTGCCGGTGTTAGATCGGCTTTGTTGAATCAAGACCGAAGAGTCGGATATTGGTCGACTAATAAAGTTCTGGAGGCAACAGTGATGGTTTTCTTATTCGCGGTTCTGCCCATCGGTGCGGGTCCTCGCAACCTCACCCCTCCCCCCCCTTCCCATGGAGCAGCTCTTGACTGTTTGTTGGCGCCTGTTTCGAGCGGGTGGAGTTTCCCCCAGAGGCCGCACTTTTGCAAACAGTCGCACCAAGCTGAGGTCTGGAGCCAGACCCCCCCCTCCCCCTCCTTGCCGCCAATGGTGAAACGCCGAGTAACAAAAACGCTCACCTTGGAACCACGTGATCCCCCGTCCAGATCCCCCGTGAGTCAGTCGCAGGCGGAGAGGTTATGTGATCGCGATTGCGTTATTTCTATGTCTTAACCTCACGAGAAGCCCAGAGGGATGGTGGCATTCTGAATCGAAACCTTACATACAGCCCAACCCACAGCTTGAGGCTCAACCACGAATCCCTGAACCGCCACCATGGTTTTGATTAGAAACCGGCCCCTGGCCAAACATTTTCGACCCAAGACGGGATGCGATTTCTAACATGAACGTGAACCCGACCTCACGTCGAATAAAGGACCTTACAAGGCTTGCCTCACGCTCAAATCTTGTACAGCCCATATAGGCCAGAGCAGATCCCAAATCCCAATCGGGAGCCTTGACTCAAACCCATCCTTACCACAGCCCCAAGACTATCGTAAACTTGCCCGATCCCCAGGTTGCCCAACCTGCACTTGTCTTAAACATTGAGCCTTGACCATAGCACGATGTGACCCTGAACCTGACCCCGACTCGTAAAATGCGGCAGGTGGTCAGAAGTGGCTCGAGGGGGCCTCGAGGGGAAAATGCCAAACAGGAGGCCCAAGGGGGGGAAATGCTTCGGAGGTTGAAAAGACTCCAAAGTGGAACAGGGAGCATCGAGGAGTGAAAACATCGAGTCGAAACCACGTCTCCGATATGGGAAGGAGAGCAGGGTAAAATAACAAAGACAACCACAGAAGACGAAGTGGAGGAGATATGTATGTACCAGTAGGCATAATTCAGTATAACATGTGCATATAGATGTATGGCACAACACAGCGCCCCTCTGAAGGCTCACGAGCTTTACGGCGAGGAGACCGAGTAGGCGCCAGCCGGGCCACCGCCCCGGCACAAGCAGGCCAGCCGGGCCGGCGCGTTCGCTGGGACCGCGCCCAACAGGACGCGGGACCACGGAAGCCGGTGGACGCGGCGACATTGAGGGCGGCGAATTCGGGCAGCCGCCCACTTGCGTCCGCGCTGATGCACGGCAGTGCCCGGAAGTGCTGGTACAGCTCGTGGATCTTCCTCGCCCTTGGGCGGGGTGTAGGTTGCAAGGTGCGGCGGGCGATTGGTCGCCGACCACCCCTTTTGTTGTGGAGTGTTAGCCTGTTGGGATGTTGCTTGGAGTCTGTTGTTTGGTTTTTTGTTATTTGGCGTTTGGAGTTTGTTGTTTTAGTTGGGGTTTGTTGTTTGTTTGTTTTGGATGGATTGCTGGTTTTTTTATGTTTTTTTGTTGTGTTTTTTTGTGGAGTTTGGAGTTTTTGTTTCTTCTTGTTGGGTTGGTGTGATTTTGTTTATGTTGGACGTTGGAGTTGGATTTCTTTGTTTGGCTTCTGGGTTGTGGGAGTTGGGAGCCTTTATTTTTGCATTGGTTTTTTGGTTTGAGTTAGGTGTTTGTTTTGGTGTTGTTTTTTGTTGTGCTGGTCTTGGTTTTTCTTTTTTGTTTGTTGTTATGGATGTGACTGTTCTTTTAGGATTTTTTGGGAGTTTGTCGGTGTGGAGTTGTGTGTGATTTGGTTTTGGCGTTTGCTGGGATGTCTGGTTTGTTGTTATTGGAATGTTATTTGGGTGGAGTTTTTTGTTTCTGTGTTTATGGAGTGTGTTTTGGAGTTATTAGGAGTACCCGCGGGTGCGCCAGAAAGTAGCGTTTGTCGCGCGGCGTTTTGACCCCGCCCGTGCAAGGAGAAGCAGAGGTCTCAGTGAAGACCTTTCAGGTTCTCGCGGGCGCACTTTGTTGGGCTTCTTGCCAGCTTCGGTTCCGTAGAGTGCTCTGACCCTGGCACGGAAGCCCTTCGACAGCGTCTTCACCTCGCTCCTCTCCCGCCTGCGCCCCTCTGCTGTTCTTCCCCTCCATTTTATGATCCTCTGTCCTGTCCTCCTTCCTCTCCATACCCTCCTTTTTTCCTCTTCACCATGGGGATCTCCTCCTCCTCCTCCTCCTCCTCCTCCTCCTCCTCCTCCTCTGTCTCCTCCTCCGACTCATCCTCCCTTACCTCCTTCCGAAGATATTGCGCCGGGCACTCACGCCCAGGATTATGGTTTTTACATGTAGGTGCTGGAGGGCATGGCCCTGCAACCACGTAGGCGCAGGTGCAAGGACTCGTGCACAATCGCTTCTCCGACAGCGGCTTCGCCGGCGGGCCGGTCGGCCCCGGCGTTTGCGCGCATGACTTGGCTCCTGCAGGCCAGGACGCACGTCGGTGACACCACTCGGACTTCGGACCGGAAGGTATCTTGCATCGGGCGGTGTCCACAAACGAGTGGATGTCGGTTGCGTCCCGTCCTTGCGTATGCGATGCGCGTGTACATGTGTGTCAATTCGTTGTTTGATGGGCGCTTCCGTTGGTGGTGCCTGGCCTTCGTGTGTGTGTGTGTGGGCGTGTGTGCTCTGTGCGCGGGCATGAAGTCTGTTCCATGTGCACGTGGTGTATGTCCCCGCGTTGCTTACGTAGTTTGCCCCGTTTGTTCGCATACGCCCCTCGTGTATGCAGCGAAATGCGTTGTGTGGATGATATGGGGGCGGCGTGCAAGCGAACCTTGGGCCCATGCCCCTTTTCGGGGAAAAGGTACTGCTCAAGTTTCTTGCTGGTTCCCTCTCCTTATTGCACGGCTTTTTAGGAGAATGATACTTCGCGGAGCTGTATCTTAAGCTAGGAGCTAAGCAGCAGGAGCATGTAGCATGGTACTGTGAGACGTATGTCCAGCGATACATGCTCGCTCCGGATGGGTTAGAGTTTGCGACCTACGTCGGGGCCCTCGGCCAAGAGCTGATCGACACCCCTGAAGGTTCGGAACCGCGCAGGGCGGCTCCGAACCAGTCGCCCACGCCCCCACCCCCGTCGCCGAGTGGAGGAGTGGAGGAGCCTGAGGGACCTCGACAGCCCTCACACGGTGACCTGCCGTGCAGGGCCGCCCTGGACGGGGACGGAGGTAGAATCGAGATAGCCAACGCCATGGGACACCACGTCGATAAGCTCCCAAGAGTAGTATCCTGCCGTCGATGCGCGAGGTATGCCGACGACAGGTCGATAAGTGTTTGGTCCAAGTGTCCTGGGGGCCACCCTCGGGTTGCCCCTGGGCGTTAAAGCCGTTCGCGGGCAGGGAGACCCAACCACGGATAGAGAGTTTTGATGTGAGGCCGCCCTCATCGCCCAGGATACGCTTGTGGGTGGGCGTACTCCACATCGTCGGCCCTGGAGTCGTGCTCACTGTGGGGTCGATCAGGCCAGTCGGATCCCGAGTCGAATCCTCCTCCCCCTCCTCCTCCTCTTCTTCC